GAGGAGGAGGAGGAGGAGGAGGAGGAGGAGGGCGGGCCACCGCGGAGGCGCTGGCCCTCCGGGGCGTGCGCACCGCGGCCGTGGACCTGCGGGGCCACGGGCTCTCGCCGCTGGGCCGGCCCGAGGACTTCGGGCCCGCCCAGCTCGCGGCGGACGTGCGCGCCGCGCTGCGGAAGGCTGGCGTCACGTCGGGCACGTGTCCCCCCACAGGAGTAAGATTTAAAAACAGGGCTAGGATCGGGATAAATCGCTCCAGAGCGTTCCGGAGCGCTCTCAGAGCGTTCCGGAACGCTCTGGAGCGGCCGCGGCGCCCAATACATCCTCCAAACCCGCCGATTCTCAGAGATTTCGAGCTATCCCGATCCGATTTTGTCCCGATCTTCGCGTCGTTTTAAGATTCAAGAATAGCAAGAGCAAGTAGTCAGGGGGCGGTGTTTCCTGCTCAGTTGGATCACTCTTGAGTCCCGTGGACCGCTTTGGTTTAGTCCGAAGTCCGCCTGTAGGAGAGCATGCCCGACCTGACGCAAGGCTGGCGTTCTCTCGCAAGGCCCAGACCCCCGCGGGCGATCCACAGAAAATCGGCGGCGAGCGCGAGGGGGATTTGAGAAGGGGCGGGCCTTCTCAGAAGGCTCGGAAGTCCCCTGGCCTCCTGAGAAGTTTCCTGAGCCTTCCCCGAAGACACAGAAACCTTCTCAGAAGGTGCGAGTGCTTCTGAGAAGTCCCGCCGCCTTCCGAGGAGGCCTTCTCCATCTCACGTCCCCCCTCGCTTGCCAACGAAATATCGGTGGCAGCATGTGAACCCTACCCCCCCACGATTTCTAAGGGGGGGTGGGGGTTCACTTTGTTTGGTAGGTTGCGAGCAGTGTGCACCCCGAGCCCCCCTCAGAAATCGTGGGGGGCGGGGGCAGGGCTCACATGTGGCCATCTAAAATACCCACGGCTGGCTGTTGATGGGTTTCCGGCTCTGTGGGGGCCCTTGCTGGGCCCGGGGCCGTTAAACAGCAACCACACCCAGGATGAAAGACTCGTCCCGGGGAATGGGTCCAGACATCCGGGGTCGACGTCGCGGAAAACACATTACGTCGGAGGTCTGGGGGAGGCGGCAAGCGCATCGTCCTCGTCGGCCACAGCATGGGCGGCAAGATCGCCCTGAGGTACGCAGCTGACTACCCTGACGACGTCGGCGCTCTCGTGATCGAGGACATGGACTGCACGAGCAGGAGGTACCCAGCGGACTACTTACAGCCCAGCGCGGCGGAGATGGAGCGCAAGCGAAGCTTCGACCGAGCCTTCGCCGATTGGGAGGCTTGTCGCGCGCTTAGATGCTGTTGAAAACGCCGAGGGCCCTCTTCCCCTTGTTGAAGCTCCAAGTTTTGGGCGCCGATTCCTGGGATCGGCCCGTGGCCCCCTTGCCTGTTCTTGTTTCAGTGTTCACTCCGTCATGATATGTTTTAAGATATGAAGTTGCCTGCGGCAACTCCCGCTACCGTGCAAGCCAGGGCACGGGAGGCCCCGGGGATGGTAATGTTGATGATGAGGATGATGATGTTGTTGTTGTTGATGATGATGATGGTGATGAAGAGGAGGAGGATGGTGATGATGATGATGATGATGCTGATGATGTTGAGGAAGAGAGTAGGAGGAGGAGGAGGAGGAGGAGGAGGAGGAGGAAGAGGAGGAGGAGGAGGAGGAGAACAAGGATACTGCTGATGATGATGATGTTGATGCTGATGACGATGATGACGATTACGATTACGATGACGATTATGCTAGGGGGTGGTGGTGATGATGGCAATGATGACGACTATCGTGGTGATGATGGTGATGAGGAAGAGGAGGAGGAGGAGGAGGAGGAGCAGGAGGAGAAGCAGGACGAGGAGGAAGAGGATGACCGTCCTATGTGACTTCCACAATCTTCACGAGTTGAGGAGTTCTCATGGAACTCGTGTGGATCGTCTTGGGGCTGTCTTGTCCTCCTGTGAGGCAGTCTTGGGGGGGCCCGTGTTGCCCTCGTGGGCCGTCTGTGGGCCCTCTTGACGCCGTCTCCAAGCTCTCGTGGGCCATGTTGGGGCCGTCCTGCCCGCATGGTGGGTGTCTGGGGGCTGCCGTTGTGCCGTCTTCGACCGTCGAAGGGCCTTCAAGGCCGTCTTTCAGGAAGACAACTATCGGGTTGGGATGATGGGGTTGGGAGACATGAGGATAGCCTTACCCGCACGCGGCTCGTTCATTGCATCTGGATCTTATTGTTCATACCCTTCATCCTCACAATCAATTCTTCCCAACACGATAATTGTTCTCCTCAGTCTTGGGTCCCGCGGGAGGCACTCTTGGGGCAGTGTTGGGGCCGTCTTGGATGCCGCTTGGGCCCTCATGGGACCCTCTTTGGCGCCACCTTGGGGCCCTCTCGGGAGCCGTCGGGCTGTCTGTGGGCAAGCGTGGGGGCTTCCTGGGCCGACTTGAGCCGACGGGAGCCCGAACTCGCGAGGATGCGAATTATGTTGAAACCAAATCGAAAGCAAAGAGTCCCCAAACAGTGCTTGCGACTAGTGGTTCTCACTTGCGTTCTAAGGCAACTGGGTCCCGATGCTGGTCCTGCCAGCTCGTCGCCGCCCGTCGCCGCCGTCGCTGCTGGGCCCCGGTGGAGGTCCGGGCGCCTCGTCGCCGCCCCTCGCCGCGCTGGTTTGCAGTGTTGCGCACTGCTCTGGCATGTTTTAGTTACTGTTTGGTGGTGTTGCATTGCTTTGCGTTGCACGGCTTGTTATTGCCGTGCATTGCGTTGTGTTGTTGTGCATTGCTTTGCATTGCGCCGCATTGCTCTGCAGTGCGTTGCCTTGCGCTGCCTTGCGCTGCCTTGCGCTGCATTGCGCTGCATTGCGTTGCATCGCAAGATGTTGTGTTGTAGTGGTTTGCATAGCTCTGCATGGCTTTGCATGGCTCTGCACTGCTGTGCAGTGTTTCGCCTTGCCGTGTATTGCTGTGCTTTGCACTGTGTTGCATTGATTTGTGTTGCAATGTAATGCTTTGCGCCCCCGAGGTTGCACCACATGGATTGCACAACCTAGATTGCGCCACATTGATTGCACCACCTAGACTGCACCGCGTCGATTGCAAGGAACCTCTGTTTGTGGTCCACGCTGGCGAACTGTTGGGCTTCTTCGGGCCCTGTTGGTAGTCGTGTTGTAGCCCTTCGGGGCCCTCTTGAAGGAGTATTCCTGCCATCTTGAAGCCACATCCGGCCGCCTTGGGACCGTCTTGGGCCGTCTTCGACGCATCTTGGGCCATTTTGGTGTCTTTGGTTGCTTGCATGGGCCGTCTTGGAAGCTCAGGACGCGGACCCATCGTTTGTAACTAGGAATCGTGTCCTCGGGAGCGTGGATGCATCGCTTTCAGCTAGAGATCGTGGCCTCGGGAGGGGGGCAGGTGCACGCAGTACTCTTGTACAGTGGGGGGGGGCCCTTGTTAGAATGCAACAGCCCTACAGAGCAGCGCCTGGCACTCTAACACACCTCTCCGTACCAGTGGTACTGGTGAGGGAGCACGGTGCCGCTTGCCTGACGCCCACTTTCTTGGTGTCGTGTTAATACGCTCTGGCAGAGTCAAGAGCGAAAAGTGGAACAAGGAAGAGAGTAAAACCAAACGAATTATTTGAGGCGTACCCAACCTTTTCTCCAAGCGAGGCGAATATGTTGATGGACGCTCCGCACACAAGAACACACCGCCGGATATACACGACCCGTGCTACCCTCATCTCCGCCGTGCCTCCCAGGAGCCCACGAAAGTGGCGATAGTTGCGCAGTTCGTAGCCTCTTCGGGAGCCGCGAGGTCTCGGCTGGGTCCGCGTGGCCCCCGACCCTGTTGGACCTCCCAGGAGCCTACGAAAGTAGCGACAGATGCGCAGTTCGCAGCCACCCATGGGACCGAGAGGTCTCGGCTGAGTGTGCGTACTCCCCTGCTCCGCAGTGCTTCCCAGGAGCCCACGAAAGTGGCGACAGTTGCGCAGTTCGCATCCACCCATGGAGCTGCGAGGTCTCGGCTGGATGCGCGTACTCCCCTACTCCGCTGTGCCTGTCAGGTGCCCACGAAAGTGGCGACAGTGGCACAGGTCGCAGACACCCAGGGAGCAGCGCAGAAGGAGGCAGGAAGACGGAGGAATGAGGCGGGAGGAAGAGAAGGTGGAGACCACAGTGCTTTCTGCGAAACGAGGATCCCACACAGGAGGCCTGAGAACGTTCCCAGCGCCTGCAAGAACAACTAAGGTCGCGCGTCCCTCGTCTCGTTCGGCTACGGCGAGGCGCGGGTGGACGGCTGGTTAAAAGAGACCCCGCCGCGGGTGCTCGCCCAGGCGGACGCAGGCCTCGGCCGCAGCGGCCTGTGGAGCGCCATCAACCCCTACGCGCAGTGGCTCGCGCGCACGACGGTGTTGACGCAGGCCGATGCCTACGAGGCCCTCCACCGCATCGCCGCGGTGCGCGCCTGCGACCGGCCCGACCTGCAGGTGCACGTGCTCGTGGCCGGCGCGGCCGGCACGGTGTGCGACTGGCAGGACGAGCCCGGGAGCATCCGAGACATGGAGGGTGTGTTGCCCGGGCTGCGAGTGACGGAGTTCCCGTCGGCGGGGCACAGCATACACAACTCGGACCAGGCGGGATTCTTGGACCACCTCTGATGGGCCAATTATCCACCACCACTACCCTAGGTAGGACGGGGGAGAACTCGAGGATGGGGAGGTCCTCCTCCTCCTCCTCTTCCTCCTCCTTCTCCTCCTCTTCCTCCTCCTCCACTCCTTTTTCTCCTCCTCTTCCTCCTCCTCCTCCTCCTGCTCCTCTTCCTCCTCCTCCTCCTTCTCCTCCTCCTCCTCCTCCTCCTCCTCCTCCTCCTCCTCCTACCTATAGTAGTGGTCGTGGAAAATCGGCCCATCAACCTCGTGGACGTGGCGCAGAGCGCCGCATGACCCGCCGGTTGGGATGGCCCATCCCGAGGGCTGCGGTTGCACGAAGGCCGCGGGCAGAGTTAAGTCGGGCCTGTCCCTCTACAGGAAGAACATGAGAAAGTAGTAAAACAACAGTCTGGGAACAATGTTCCAACTATGTTATTTTTGTTTGAGTATTGTTTGAGTATGCTTTACTTGTCCTCCAAAGTCTGCCTGTAGAGGAACATGCCCGACCGAATGGCAAAGGAGGGCGGGGCGGGAGCTCGAATGGTCGGCAAGTACAAAGTACCGCTCTCCCCTTGTGGAAGGGGGCCCGAGCGAACCCCAGGCGCCCGACCAGCGCCCGCCGAACCAGACTTGGACCCCCCGCCGACGACCCGCCCGACACCCTCTCGCATCACCCCTACGGATGCCCACCCAGGACGCCCAATAGTAAGGAGAATGGCGCCTGCCTTAGGATCCCCCCTAGTGACAATTAGGGGAATGGGTGTTTGTTGTTGGCGTGGGAAGCGAAACACCTCAGTTAGGTCGAGCGGGGGACCTGAGATAGGACAGGAGGACAGGAGAAGCTGAACTGATGCCTATCGTAGGGCCAACAGCGGCGGCCGCGTCAACGGGGGTTCCTCCTCCGCCTCCTCGCCCCTCCCTCCCCCTCCGTTCTCAGGCTCCTCCTTGAGGCAGACCTGCGGCCGTTGCGAACCAGAAGACTCGCCAGCCAACTGGGGAGCACACACTTCAATAGAGTTATTAAGTTAATCTGGTCAAGGGTCCCATTGGAGGACATGCTCCGTCCAAAAAGAAGGGGACAGTGAGGGTCCGATGCTCTTCCCATCCCCTTTGTCCATCGCGGGTGGCGACCTGTTAGCCCCGCACTCGGGGGAAGCGTTGACCGCGCATATGTCTTCGCAGTAGTCTGACTTCGGCGCCGTTCCAAGTTCTAGGCCGCGAGCTAGCATATTGCACAGATGTGCGCGGGCAGCGGTTTCGCCTTCCGAATGGGATCGCACGCCTGCTTCAGAAGCGAGAGCATGCATCCAGAGCCCGAGGCACACTCTAAGACCACCGTTAGGAAATTATTCACTGCGTGGGGCTCCCCATATGTACATCTATTAGCATGGACCTGTTCACCGCGAGTGTCTAGGCGCAAGTTTTTCCGAATATTCACGGGCTTCACATTGACGGTCTGGGAGTGAATCTAATTATGAATGAGTTGGAGTGTGAGCCAGTCTCAGTAGTACGAGGGCGTCTCTACGCATGAGCCTGGGGGGTCTCCTGGGGCCTCCTGACACCTCCTGGGGCTTCTTGGGGCCTCCTGGAGCCTCTTGTGGCCTCCTGTGGCCTCTTGGGGCTTCCTGTTTCCTCCTGAGGCGCCCCAGGGGAGGCCCAATATATAGGAACAGACGTACACAAAACATTATTGGAGCCGCAGGAGAAGGGCAATCTATAGGAACACACGTAAAACACCAAGGACTCGTGCCCCAGGGGAGGCCACATCTATAGAAACATACGCAAACCACAGAGGATTCGTGTTCCAGGGGAAGCACAATCTATATGAACAGACGTACAACACATGGGATTGTAGCCACTCCTGTGGCCTTCTGATGCCTCCTGCACCTGTGGACTCTTGGGGCCCCCTGGTGCCGTCCCGGGCCTCCTGGTGCCTTTTGGCGCTTCCTTTGGCCGCCTGTGGCCTCCTGTTGCATCCTGAAGAAGCGTCCTGAAGCATCCTGGAGCCTCCTGGAGCCTTCTGGACCCTCTTGGAGCCTCTTAAGGCCTCCTGGAGCTCCTGCAGCCTCTTGTGGCATCCTGATACCTCCTGGTACGTCCTGTGGCCTCCTGGGCCTCCTGTGGCATCCTGAAGAGGATCCGTGCCCACGAGTCTGGCCAGCAAGATATGCGATCTGCTCGAGACATCCTCAAAATCTGGCCCCAGATGAGAACAAAAATGAAGGCCTCGCTCGAGACATCCTCCAAATCTGCTCCGAAAGCCGACGACGTTGAGCACCGCAACAGGCACCCCGCTCGAGACATCCCCGCCATGTTGGCGCAAACGGAGGAGTGCAATACCCCCTGGCGGCTCACCATTGGGGGTGCTGAAGTCCGCGCCTCGCCCGAGGCATCCTCAGAATTTGCTCCGAAAGCGGAGGATCTTGAGCACCGAAACAGGCACGCCGCTCGAGACACCTCCGCCATGTTGGCGCGAACGGAGGAGTGCAATACCCCTTGGCGGCTCCCCATTGGGGGTGTTGGAATTCGCGCCTCGCTCGAGACATCCTCCAAATCTGCTCCGAACGCGGAGGATACTGAGCACCAAAACAGGGAAATCGCTCGAAACATCCCAGCCATTTTGGCGCGAACGGAAGCCGTGCAATACCCCTTGGCGGCTCCCCCGTGGGGGGTTCTGAAACCCGCGCCTCGCTTGAGACATCCTCAGAATTCGCTCCGCCATCATCATCATCATCATCATCATCATCATCATCATCATCATCATCATCATCATCATCATCATCATCATCAGCAGCAGCAGCAGCAGCCGCAGCAGCAGCAGCAGCATCAGCAGCAGCAGCATCATCATCATCAGCAGCATCATTAGCATTTGCATTATCATTACCATCAGCAGCAACAGCATCATCAACATCATCATCATCATAATCATCATCCTCATGTTCTTCATCACCATCATCATCATCAACATCGTCGTCATCATCGTCATCATCATCGTCATCATGATCACCACCATCATCATCGCCACCATCAGAAACCTGATTATCAGGGATCTAAGAGCGAGCGCATCTGAGTATGAGTGAGTCTGAATATGAGTGAGTCTACATGTGAGCGAGTCAGAGCATGATGACTTGAGGGTGGGAGGTGTGTTCTCTCGTTCTCCGCGCGGTCAAAGTAATTATGATACTGAGGAACCCCACATGATTGTATAATGTCTGGAGTGGTAATAGCTGAAGTGAACCAGGCGAAACTGACGCAGGTGGCCGTTGCTTCGCTGATACCGTTGGTGACGCCAGTCAAAAGGAGAGGAGGTCACCGAGTGCCCTTTTCCAGGGTAGTAACAGGAACATCGGCCACGCAGGACACGGAACGCGATCTTCGGCGAAAAAACTCCGACCGCGCCCAATTCGCAAACATCACAAACTCCTTTGGACGGAAAGTCTCCGGGATTGCTTTTCGATGGAAAATCTCTGAGCGGCGGCGCACCCACGACCTCACGCCGCCAGCAAGATCTATTGGCGCTCCCGATCGAGAGCCTCGATCTCCCGCGTCTCCGTGGCCATGCGCCCATCGAACCTCTGGAGGGCATTCAGCACGGATGGAGGTGGGCCTGTCTGCAAGACCTTCACTCTGCGCACCCCAGTGCCACTCCTGCCACGCCCTGCGAGCGTGTCACAGATAGAGGCCGCGCTGAGGGACCACCCTCTGCGCACCCCTTGTGGTGTCGAGAAATTGCCACTCCTGCCATGCCCTGCGAGCGTGTCACGGATAGCGGCCGCGCTGAGTGTGTCCAGAAAGTGCCACCCGTGCCACGCCTTGCGAGCGTGTCACGGATAGCGGTTGCGTTGAGGGACCACTTCTGCGCACCCCAGTGCCACCCCTGCCTCGCCTTTCGAACGTGTCACGGATAGAGGCCGCGGTGAGGGGCCACCCTCTGCGCAACCGCTGTGGTGTCGAGAAAGCGCCACTCTTGCCACACCCTGCGAGCGTGTCGCGGATGGAGGCCACGCTGAGGGACCACCTTCAGCGCACCCTTCCTGGTGTCGAGAAATTGTCCTTCCTGGCACGCCGTGCGAGCGTGTCACGGATAGCGGCCGCGCTGAGGGACCACCTTCTGCGCACCCCAGTGCCACCCCTGCCACACCCTGCGAACGTGTCACGGATAGAGGTCGCGGTGAGGGGCCACCTTCTGCGCACTCGTTGTGGTGTCGAGAAATCGCCACTCTTGCCACACCCTGCGAGCGTGTCGCGGATGGAGGCCGCGCTGAGGGACCACCTTCAGCGCACCCTTCCTGGTGTCGAGAAATTGTCCTTCCTGGCACGCCCTGCGAGCGTGTCACGGATAGCGGCCGCGCTGGGGGACCACTTTCTGCGCACCCCTTGTGGTGTCCAGAAAAGGCCACCCTTGCCTCGCCTTGCGAGCGTGTCACGGATAGCGGCCGCGCTGAGGGACCACCTTTTGCGCACCTTTTGTGGTGTCGAGAAAGCGCCACCCTTGCCACGCTTTGCGAGCGTGTCACGGATAGAGGCCGCGTTGAGGGGCCACCTTCTGCGCACCCAGTGCCATTTCGGTCACGCCTTGCGAGCGTGTCACGGATAGCGGCCGCGCTGAGGGACCATTTTCAGCGCACCTTCCTTGTGGTGTCGAGAAATTGTCCTTCCTGGCACGCCCTGCGAGCGTGTCACGGATAGCGGCCGCGCTGAGGGACCACCGTCTGCGCACCCCTTGTGGTGTCCAGAAAGTGCCAGTCTTGCCCCCCCCCCCCCCCGCGAGCGTGTCACGGATAGCGGCCGCGTTGAGGGACAAAGTTCTGTGCAAATCTTTTTGGTGTCGAGAAAGTGCCAGTCTTGCCATGCTTTGCGAGTCCTACACGTAGGTTTCGTGTATGGCGTGTCATGTGTTTTTGTATGATACGTGTGCGGCTGTATCTGGACGCGTGTCTCATGTGAGTGCCCAGTATGTGTCATGTGTATGATGCATGTGCGGATGTATCTGGGCGTGTGTGCCATGTGGGTGCCCAGTATGTGGCGCATACGTCGTGGGTGTGTGGTGCAGTGAACACGCCAGGCGTGCACTGGCGTTGGTCGTGTGTGTGTGTGTGTGCGTGTGCGACTGTGTGCATGCGTGCGGCTGTGTGTCGACGCGTGTCTCATGTACGCGTCGTGCATGCGTTGCGCGTAGGTGAGGAAGGAGGATGGTTGGGAGGGGAGGCGGGTGTGTATGTGTGTGAACGCGGGTGCGACGCGGGTGGGAAGAAAACAAGAAGCTTTGTATTACACATTTGGGGAATAACAAGAACCCCATCTTTAGGATATGGGGAATTAGGGGGTTAGCTGGCATGACTACACCTTTCGCTTTGCTCTTCGTTATTTATTTGTTTGATCTGCTTCGGCATGAATGACTGTACACATGGGCACGCCAAATGTAAGAAGATTCGCGTCCATTTTTTCAACGGGTATATTGGTGCTGGCAAACATACATAATCACGCGTTGATGCGAATAGTATGCTGCCTGCGCAAAGACATGTGTGCGTGTGCGTCGCAAAAACATGATTTTCACAGTAAGTGTTATAATCATTACAATGAGTGCTTGCACTTAGGGGTTCTTACTTCTGTTCTGAGGAACTGTGCTGGTGTGACAGTCTGGCGGCTATGTTGTCGCCGTCGCCGCCCCGTCACCGCCTCATCGTTGTCCGTCGTCTGGGCCGGTGTAGCGGTGCTTGGGCCGTTGTATCGGTCTGCCGGTTATGTTGTTGCTGTCGCCGCCCCGTCGCCGCCTCGCCGCCCGTCGTTTGGGAGGGTGTGGCGATCTGGCGGCTATATTGTCGCCGTCGCCGCCCCGTCGCCACCTCGTCGCCACCTCGTCGCCGCCGTTGCGCAACATAGATTCCACCACAAAGATCGCACCACATATATTGCACCACATCTATTGCACATCATAGGTTGCAGGACCTAGACTGCAACACATATAGGTATTGCACCACACAGATTGCACAACATATACTGCACTACCTATATTGCACCACATGCATTAAATCACGCACGTTGCACAGCATAGATTGTACAACATTGATTACACCACTGCAGCACGTCGATTGCACCACACAGACTGCACATCATATATTGTTCCACATAAGCTGCATCACATAGACGGCCCCCTTCTAGGTTGCATTACACAGCCTGCACCACATCTCATGCAGAACATACATTGCATGATGTAGACTGTACCACATGGATGTTACAAAATACGCCGCGCAACCTATACTGCACACTGTCGATTGCAAAACCTACAGTTCACCACAGAGGTGCCACCCATAGATAACACCACACATATTGATCCACACAGAGAGCACTACACCGATTGCTCGAAAACACTGTTTGGGGCCCACGCTCGCTGAGATGATATATACACATATGTGTGCCACCATCTGATGCGCACATGCTTACAAGTGTGTACACATGTATGTCTTTGCAGATCTCTGCAAATCGACCCGTCGGTTCCTCTCCAGAGGTCTGTGATCGCCAAAGCCCCCTTTCGCCACCTTAGCCGCGACGGTGGCGACAAGCATTCCCAGGGTCTCATCACATTTCCGCGTTTTCTGTTATTGAATAGTTTTCTGGTTCGCCAAGTTCTTCTTGCCCCACCCAACTCCTTTGAAGTACTTGTCGTAATACATATTTATCTATATATATATATGTATGTATAGCTTCTACCTCCTGTGCCTCCTCTGGCCCTTCTCAGTGTTATGATCAGACTAGCTCGTCTGATTATTATAAATGTTCTTTCTGATCGGTCTAGTTCGTCTGCCCTCATATAACTATCCCCACTCGCTCTCTCGATCAATCGGGCCCAAGGGTTCCAACACCTGCCACCCTTCTGACCCGCTGAAGCATCGTCCATGCTGTGATTGGCCTGACTTGTCTGGCTCTGCACACGCTCACGAGCCCTTCTCTCGCTGCATGTCTGCTGCTCGCGCGTGAAACCGGGCAGTTGGCCTGGCATGCCGGCGCTCGACCCGTGGTTGCCCGTGGCCGCTTCGTGGTCGCCCCCCTCACCACACCTGGTTGCCATCCTCCTCCTCCTCCTCCTCCTCCTCCTCCTCCAACTTCTCCTCCTCCTCCAACTCCTCCTCCTCCTCCTCCTCCTCCTCCTCCTCCTCCTCCTTCTCCTCCTCCTCCTGCTCCTCCTCCTCCTCCTCCTTCTCCTCCTCCCCCTCCTTCTCCTCCTCCTCCTCCTCATCATCATCATCATCACAGACTCTCGCCTGGAGAGCGCCCGTGACCGCCACGCGGCCGCCGCACAGCCACGGGACAGCCCAGGGCCGGTCCCAGACGCTGTCTTGCTGGACCTCGGCCGTGTTCTGTCTCTCGTCTTGGCGGGGAGGGTGCAGGAAAACAGGCAGAGCAAAACAAAGCACAAGACGAGGACGAAGCGAAAAAACACGTTTGGGTTCAGCCCTGGGACAACCCGAGAGACGCGCACCGCATGGAACAACCTGGGAGACCTGCGCCAGGACGGCCACCAGACAACGACAGCAGAACCTCGGGAGGACTCTGGGGAACCCGGGCACCCAGCCACAGCAATCTTCAGAGGAGGAAAAGGTACCCATTCCTCTACCCCGTCGCTCGCTTTCCCCTTTTTGGCCTCCTTGGAGGCCCTCGTCGCCACCGCTGGATTCGCCTCGAAATCCTGGTCAGAACGCACCCCAGGAGAGGTCCAGGGAGTAGCGGTATCGGTACCGCTTAGTTTCCCCAAATCTGACCGGCCCGGCTTTATGAGAAGGAAGGGATATTTGCAGCGCCTGCGCAGCCGCGCCTCGCCCGCACGCGCGACACGGATCGAAGTCGATTTACCAGTGTGAGTGGGGCATTCGGTTTCGCTTAGCCCGATTCTTCGACATGTCTGCAAGCGTGTTCCCCCGATGTCCCCTTTATCCCCGTCCGTCATCCCCGTCGTCATCGTCATCGTCCCTATCATCCGTAGCCGTTTTGGCTCAAGAGTGTTTCGTCTCAAGCCGCGCTGGCTCAAGATCCAGGGCTCCCGCCTGGCACGCCCGACGGTCGCACACAGCACCGCCTCCTCCAGCGTTGCAGGCTCCCGCGATGGCGCGCTCCAGCTTCGGTGCCTTGCTGCTTGCTGCGGCGTCGGCATGGCTGCTGGCCGCAACTCTCTCGCCAGCCTTCGCCGGCACGGGCGCCCTGCCGAGCCGAGCTGCCCGGGGTGATCGCGTGGCCAGGCAGGCCGGGAGCGAGATTATGCTAACCGCCCCGTCGATCGGCGGCCGCTACCGAGTGATCATCGACGAGAGCACCACGGTGGAGTCGTGCCTCGCCAAGGCCCGGAAGATCTTCGAGATCGACCAGGACTTCCTCCCCGACAGCGACTTCAACGTCTACCTGAAGGAGGACGAGAGCAAGCCGATCTCCGGCAAGATCGCGGACCATACTGAGCTGCGCCCTTGGGGGCCCGACGGCATCGAGCTCCACATCTACTACGAGCCGAAATGAGCGGCTCGCCAGCGCGAACGGGGCAGGAGGTGTGAATTTGAAACGCGCTTGCTCGGGCGATGATGAATCATCAGCACAACAATCATCGTCCCCAGCACCCTCTCGGGACGCACTTGGGCGTAGGGCAGGATGGAGCTTGTCCAGGATCGATGCCTTGCTCTCTGCGTGGACGAAGACACGCTCGCAGCTGGCGGGAGGCGCAGGAGGAGGAGGAAGAGGAGGAGGAGGAGGAGGAGGAGGAGGAGAAGAAGAACAGGAGAAGGACAGGAGAAAGGACAGGAGCGAGGAGGGGGAGGAGGCAGACAGAAGCGAGGAGGGGGGAGGAGGAATGGGGTGGTGAGGGCGAGGAGGGGAGTGCCGAAGACAGCCGGCGTGGGTGGGGGGGGGGGGGGGGGGATGGACGCCCTCCCTCAGAGAATCCGCCCCCAGACCTCACCTGGAGCGCGTCCCGAGAAGGATCTCACGGGTGCCCCTAGCCCTGGCGACGGCGCGGGCTCAGGAGGAGGCGGCGAAGGAGGAGGAGGAGGAGGAGGAGGAGGAGGAGGAGGAGGAGGGAGGGGGAGGAGGAGTAGGAGGAGGAGGAGGAGGAGGAGGAGGAGGAGGAGGAGGAGGAGGGAGGAGGAGGAGGGAGGAGGAGGGAGGGGGAGGAGGAGGAGGAGGAGGAGGAGGGGGAGGGGAGGGGGAGGGGGAGGGGGAGGGGAGGGGGAGGGGGGAGGGGGAGGGGGAGGGGGAGTAGGAGGAGGAGGGGGAGGAGGAGGAGGAGGAGGAGGACGAGGAGAAGGAGGAGGGGGAGGAGGAGAAGGAGGAGGAGGGGGAGGGGAATGAGGAGGGGGAGGGGAAGGAGGAGGAGGAGGAGGACGAGGAGGAGGGGAGGAGGAAGGAGGAGGAGGAGGAGGAGGAGGAGGAGGAGGAGGAGGGGGGGAAGGGGAAGAGATTCCTGGAGTCCCCTGGGAGTCGGCTGTGCGTCGGCCCCCCATGGGAGCGACGCGGGAGCTCAGAGGAATCTGATAGAAATTGCTCCAGGATGGGCGCGTTCTGGCCACACCCTTTGGGCATCGGTATGCTAGAACATGTTTGTTCCCTATGTTCGCCTCCAAGGGGGGGGCGCATAGTATGTACCAGTACGTCCCTCTTCGTCCCATGGAGTTCTCTTCAGGTCCCCAGAGTCGAAGATCAAACATGATTCCTTTGCGGCAGAAGACCCTGGACAGCCTTTTGTACAGTTACGACGGGGACCACGACTGGGCATCAAGATCGAGGGAGGTGCGGATTTGTTGGATCGGCGCAGTTTTCAGAGGAGCGGCGGCGTCGCGTCGCCCAGCGCACTCTCCGCGCACCACGGAGGGGGAGTCCAGCGCCGATCCAAGAATTCCGCGCGAACCTCCGGGAGTTTTGTCCATGCAGATGCTTGTTAGGTAGTGGCCCTTCAGCCCATCCCGCTACCGCACCTTGGTTGTAGGTCAGAGGCCTCTTGAATGCTGGTGTGGATCTATTGGTAGGCCTCTCGGGAGCCTCCTGGATACGGTTTTGGAGTGTCTTTGGAGCCTCTTGAGGCCTCTCGGGGCCTGATTTGGTGGGCCTCTTGGAGTCTCTGGGGGGCGTCTTGAGGGCCCGCTGGCGGTCTCGCAGGTCGCTGGCCCTCTCTTGGGGCCCTCTTGGGCTGTCTTTGTGACTCTCTTGGGCCGTCTTTGGGGCTCCTTTGGAGGGCCTGCTTGGTTCTGTTCAGACGGTCTTGGAGGCCTCTTGGGCCGTGTTGGAGCGCTGGAAGCTTGGAAAGGCGAGAACGCTCCACTATCCTTCGAACAACCTAGTCGGAGATTGAAGGATTCTGGCTTCTGATAGCCCTGTTGGAAGTACTCTTGGAGCCCTCGTGGGGCGTCTTGGAGGCGTCTTGGGCCGTCTGACGGCCATCGTTGGCATCTTGGAGCGACCTTTTGGCGACCCAGATCTTTCTCGGACCGTCCTGGGGGCCTCTTGGAGCCCTGCTGGCACGTCGTGAAGCCCTTTCGGGCCCCGAGAAAGGCAAGGCGGGGACGCGCATGGGGCACGCGACGCGCCCCGGGAAATCCAGGCATGCGGATTCCGGTCATGTCGTCTTCGTTCGCCCAGGGCCGAGGACGGAGAGCTTCCAGGGGCCCGAGAAT